AGTTTTAAATACATTTCGAGTCTGCTCTTGAGTTTCCCAAGTCTCATTAGCACCTGAGACTGCTTTCCTAGAACCTACTTAATACAGCAATACTGTTTTGAGTCTACTTGCTCAAGGCTTCTTGGGTGTGGCTCCGGGTCAAAAAAAAAGAGAAAATATAGCAATACTGTTAAAGAGAACCTTCTGTGACAATGGAAACATTCTTTATGTCTGCTGTCCAATACAGCGGACACTGCCTACATGTGTCTACTAAGTACATGATATGCAGCTGGTGTTACCTAGGAACTGAATTTTTAACACACTGACTGACATACCAGAAAATAAACATTTTTCCTTGGGACCATGGTGTTTTTGAAAGCAATCCTTTCTAATTTAATGAAAAACTTGTTAAATTGTTTTCTGTGCATGAGTTACATGCAACCTGAAAACCAGTTCACACATCTCCCAAGGTGAAGAGACATGTGAGTTACATATGCTTCGTGAGGCCCAGGCCCAAAACTATTGCAAGTTAAATACAACTCACACGGCAGTTAATGTGTTAACTTTGCTTCACTTTAAGTAGCCACATATGGTTAGAGTGCAAGCTGTAATTCTTCATTTTCTCTGGACATTCTTTGGCTGGGAGGGTGGGCTGGGGCCTAGGAGCACCTTGTGGGAAGAGAGGCAGGAAGCAGTGCCTCCTGGACTCCACCTGGAGCTTCAGCCCTCCCTGCGGGCCACAAACTCTGCACATGCAGACAGAGGTAACAGAGGGAGACAAGACAGCTGGCAGCCAAATGTCATGGGTTGTTCAGGAACAAGAAGCATATGCATGTGCCATGTGTTAAGGTATCATGTGGCCTGGGCCCTGAAGAGCTAGAATGCAAGTCCATGGGCACAAGGACATCATTTGCTGATCACAGTCCCTAACGCAATGCCTGACCCACAGTAAGTACTGCATACAAATCTATCACGGAATGAAGTAGTAGGATCTTTGTGAAGCGTTCTGGGGAAACAAAATACACACATACAGGCAGCAGGCGCAGTGAGGCTTCCACATGAAGTCTGGAGGGGCATTCTGGGAATATCAAGTTTGTACTATGGCCAAAGTATGGAAAGGACCCAGAAAGTACATGTGAGAAGGTCAGACTGGAGCCAGGCACTGAAAAATCATCTCAAATGGCATGTTGAAAAAAATGTAGGCTTGATCCCATGAACACTAGGGTTTATAAACAAGGGAATAAAATGTTTCTGAAAGAACTGGGGGTGGGGGAATGGCTACATTAGTATAGGGAATACCATAAAATAATGGTCAAACTCAAATAACCTTCAGGAGCCTGGGAGGAAACCAAAAAAAAAAGAGTGTGACTTGCAGGATGTGACACAACAGGGAATGGTGTCACACTGCACACACAGCCTAGCTGGTACAAAAGGACACCAGGTACCTTAACGGGCTCCACCAGTTCCAGGGCAGGGATGATGTTCTCGGCGGCCACTTTGGCAGGGATCAGAGTCTGCATGGGCATTTCCTTCACCTCGTCACAGAACCCAACCAGCCCACAAATCTCCTTGGGTTGCTGAAGAGAGCAGAAAAGAAGCAGTCAGATGCAAGCTTGCGCCCACCACCCTCCGCCCTCCGTCCCACTCTCTATACACAAAGGATGGGGTGCTGGGGAGCACCCTGGTCCCAGTGTCAAGGCTGACTCCCCCCAAGATGGACAGATTCCAGATTCAGTTTGACAGGGCTTGTGTCCAAAAGCAGAGCACACGTGCCAGTTACATCTGGGGAGGAGGTCATGCAAAGCTCTGAAGGGACATTAGGCAGAGCCACTTCCTCTGCTGCTCCACCAGGGCCCCGTGAGGAACGGAGACTCCCAGCACCTTCGGCATCTCCAAGGACAGCTGGTCTGCTCTAGAACGTTCTTCTCAGCTCACTCTCAGTAGGAAGTAAGCTATATGCTCTTTCTAGAGAAGGAACTACCAGCCCATGAACTAACAGAAAATCAAATGTGTTAGAAATAAAGCCAAACTGGATCTTTCAGTGGCAGGACCATTTAAAATGATACATTAAGGGGAAATGCTGGCTTTTTTTAAAACCACATTCTATGTTCACAACTGTACACTGTATGTGTGAAAACCCAACCCCCCAATTTGATGAATCTTGAATTCAAGTCCCAAGATTGATCCCTTTCACCATTTAGACACCAAATCCCTCCAGACTGATCCCTTTCACCATTTGGACACCAAACCACAGAGAACCAGTTAGTGTGGACACCTTGACTATTACACAGTGAGCAAGACAAGTATACAAACTCTATATACTGTGTCAATCAAATGTAACCAGCAACCAACTCTGGCCTGATGGCATTTGCCTCCTACCACCAAACCCAAAAGCAGCGGCAAGAGGAGTGCTAAAGACGACACCTGTTTAGGGAAGAGCGCTAGATCATGATTATGTTTTAGTATCAAGAAGGCTCTCGAATTAAATAAGGTTGGAAGAGTCTGAAAAGTATATCCCTAATACCCTGTCTTTGGTACATGTTAAGAATGGGGGGAAAATCAGAATGAGGCTGAAGATACAGCAAGATTTTTGGGAAAAGGTGTGAAGATTCAGGAGGTGTATGGCTGCTTTTGTCTCAGGATCAGCTTAGTTCTAACTTTTTGAGGAGGTTGAGGGGAAAATTCAGGCATTTCAACCAAAGTCCTCTCCCATTAGACTTCAAAATACCTTTAAAAAAATCTATAACTCTAATCCTAGAGACAGATGCCAATGCTCAGAAGGGGTCAGTGCTCAGCATGGCCCTAAGAGGGCACTAGTTCAGAGCAAGTATAGACCGGGAGCTCAGTTCCTGCTGTGTGCCATCTGATGTGGTTCCAGATCCCAAAGCACCCTGTCACCCAGGGGGGCAGAAGCCACAATTAAGGAATTGTTTCCAACTCTCTGGATCCAACAGCCAGGGAACAGTCTGCTAACTGTTTGCAAAGGATTTGCTCATGCAGCAGAAGCACTTCTGGGGTTATGAAGAAGAGCACTAAAGACATGCAACCCCCACTCGCGTAGTGACAGACACAAGGTGTCCTACGGGAAATCAGGCCTACATTGGCCTGCCTGATTGGCTTACACTGAAAGAAGCTGAGACACCTCTGGGACCACCCACGGTCTCCCATCGTGACAACGGTGGCCTGCACATATGTATGCTTTGTGTTGATTTGACCAGAGCACAAGGCTCCGTTGGCTTTGTTTTCTGGCCCCGTGAAGGGGAGATGTGCCGTTTTACAGGAGAGAGATGCAGAAGCTCTCCCCACCCTATTAACAGAGAGTGACCCTGCCTTTTGCAACCATTCCTTGTATCTGTCAGAGCTAATCACGCCATACCAAAAAAAAAAAAACCAGCAAAGTTAACTAAGAGAAGCAGCAGACCACTACTACAAGCAAATCCCCCAACACATACCTGATCCTGCTGTTGAACAAAAAAACAGGAAATCGGAGATGAAAATAAGGGAAAGGAAAGGACACAACAGTTAAGAAAAATTAAAATAACAATCAAGCAGTTAACCAGGTATAAGGATGTCACAGGAAGTTTAGGGAAAACACTCTTGCAGTCAGGTATTAGCAACCTACCTTGTTCTTGCTCTCATGGAGGAGGGGGACCTGAAAGCTGCTCTGGCCCTCCTTAGGCAATAGACCACTTGAGGGCCATCCAGCTAGTGCGTGCCCCGTCCCCATGTCCAATACACTCACAACAATGTGCAGTAAGGTCCCCAGAAAATGCTCCTTTATGGTTTCCATCCTCAGGGGCCTAATCCCACCAGGCCTGCAAGGCCTTCCCCCCAGGTTAGCTATAATCAGCTCACCAGACATGGGGCTGCCCAAATAAGGGGTGTGTGTTATAAAACACACTCTGAGGGGTCCAGAATCCTGATCTTGACTCTCAACCACCCAGGTCTCACAGCAATCCAGCCCAGGTGGCCAAATGCCACCCTAGAAGGCCAATTTGACAATTTATCAAAAGGCCTGCGCTTTGACTGAGCAATCCCAGCTTTAGTTATCTACACTAAGGAGAAAGACAGGGATGGGGCTAGATATATATATTTGCCTATAAGGACAGTCATCATCCCAAAAGCAAACCTCAAAACAACAGCCAGCCAGCCACAGGGATTGGTTACATAAATTATGTTCTATGCACACACCTGATTACGCAACTACTTAAAAATCATTTGTACAAGAATATTTAATGAGCAATATATTTTCAGGCAAAAAATGCGAACTACAAAGTAGTATATAAAATATGACCCCGTTTTTTTTTTTTTTTTTTGAGACAGAGTCTCGCTCT